CTGATATGTAAAACCATAGAACTCAAAGAGGGTGTACTTTCTTTTTCACGTGACTGTACATACATATATACATAATGTTTTAATTACATTTAATTACATTTTAATTAGTACATTGCACATTAGCATTGCACATTGGAAGGAAAACGTATTGCCAGAAACAGAATGTGTTACCCTTTTCTAGGCAAATGTAGTCCCAGAAGAAGTGACCAAGATGTATACTGCAATGTGTCTTACTGCTTACTAGGGAGACTTGCCACAAAATATTACTTAGCCTCCCCAAGCCTGTGAGTTGAGATTACAGCTTCTATAAATCCAGGCCCTGGGAGCTGAATTGGACTCTGCATGCTCTCAGTTTTTTGGACTCTCAGTTTTTTAACATGATTAACATCTGTTAACATCTGTTATTTACATTAACATCTGTTACCCCAGCTCTCCCTGTTCCTCATCCAACACCTTAACTGCTGACCCCTGAGGTGATATTCGTTAGGTTTGTTTCAGTGGTCCTATTTTTTCTTACTCCTTTTGTAAAAGTTCAGTGAATTTTAAGTTTGATATAACAAAGGGGAGGACCGTTGAAGGACAGAGGAATGTTTATCAGTTACTTAATTTTGCTCTATTTTCATGGGATACTATTTGGATGTCTTGGATAAGCTGTAGCCTACCTTCCTCATATGTTTAAAGATGAAGATTTGCTCGCCTAATGTATTACAAGAGAGAGTATTGCAGAGAGATGCTGTAGAGAGATGCCTCTTGCCACATAGTTGACCTCTCCTGTTTTTCTTTTTCTCACTAGGACTTTGGGGATTGGTGAACAACGCTGGCATTTCTACTCCCACCGCACCAAATGAGTGGTTGACCAAGGAGGATTTCAAGAAAATCATAGATATCAATCTACTTGGGTTGATTGATGTGACCATACACATGCTGCCATTGTTGAGACAAGCCAAGGGACGTGTTGTTAATGTTGCCAGCATAATGGGCCGATTAAGTTTCTTTGGCGGAGGCTATTGTCCTTCAAAATACGGGGTGGAATCTTTCTCTGATAGTCTCAGGTAACTGCTGTTTTCTGTAGTAGTATTGGCAAACATTCATTTTCCCCCAAGGAGATGTTTCTGAGATAGTGGGGTAAATTCTTGCATAAAACAGGGCATTTCAGAATATAAAAGCCAGTTTCACAGTAATAATTACAGTGTTAATTTAAAGTAGTATTGCAGGATACAGCTAGTAGCTCTTGTGTAACTACAGATTGATCATTTTTCTCATTTGGCACTGAAGTTAAATATCTGCAATCCAAACTTGGACAATACTTTTGTAAATACCTACCTTCCAAAATGCCGAGCAAACTTAAGTTCCGGTATAACTGATCAGGGATTTTGACTTTTTTTTCCCTCCTAACATATCATTTATGGTCCAATTGCTTTATTTTTAAAAACTCTACAGTAAGAGAAGAATTGGTGCATAAACAAATGATGGATAAACTCTGGTATAGATATTTCTCCATTACTAATGGTGATGTTCTGCCATCTCCATGTTGAAATTCCTCTGCTGAACGTAACAGAGCATGGCTCCTGGATCTTGGCTTCTGAATCATTTGGCAAGGCTAAAGGAACAAAAAGCCACTCTTGAACTATAATCCAACATGAACTTAAATTGAACTAAGCCTTTGTGAGTGCAGAGGGACTGATTTGTGAGTAAAATTGAGTGGGCTTTTCTTTAGAAGAAGTGATGGTTAGATCTAGGTATATGAGAGAGAAATAACAAATATGTATAACATCACTGTAAATCTTGCTGGTAGAAAGCAAGGCAGAATACTTGCAAGTAAAACATTATTAAATATATACCAATTCATAGATTCTGAAAAATGAAGCTTAACACAGCAGCATAAATGTTGATTTCTCCCAAAAGTTCTGGGTGACAGGGCCAGCAATCTACTCCCATTGAAACAGGTGCTTGTCACTCGTTGTCATCCAAAATAGAGAATGTTTCACACAGAATACCCCTGCTTTTCCATCCAGCTCGCCACCTGCTTCAAGCACATGCTTTTTTAAAATCGAGCAACTCCCCAGAATAGATGGGTTTTGACTTGCAAAACCATATTTGCATTTGCAGCCTTGCCAGTTCTGGTCACTGTAAAATGTTCACTGTAAAATGCCAAGGCCCTTGGGGATTTTGTTTTATAAGCCGAGATGGGAGCTACTCTCTGGAGTGCTTAGGTGATTAGCAACTGTCTTGCTTGTCATAACCGTGGCAGGGTGGATTTTTTTTTGCCATTTTTAATGTGATTGGAAGGTTGGATAAAATACGTAACCCCCTCCATCAAGGCTCCCAGACATGATATTACAAACTACCATGGCTGAGTTCATACATCACACTAAGTTCCAAACAAACCACCTTATGGTTACCACAGTGTGAATAGCTAACCCCTCCTGAGATTTTAAAAGCAGGTTAGGCCAGTTTGGACTAATTCGGTCTTTCCCAGTCTGATTTCTTCCAGATACACTAGCCTTTGCCTTCCATAATTCTACACCCAAGCCCACGCTGACCAGAGTTTTGAGAGTTAAAGCCCTGTGCTTGGAAGGAACAGGTTGGGGAGGTCTTGGCCCTGGGCTGGCAGAGAGGGGAAAGACAGACCTGGCCAGTTTTAATTCTAGAGTTATCCTACTACTGCAGTCTCAAACCCACAGATTACCCCCTGGAATCATCCAGAAAAACAAGAATCATGCAGACAGTATCCCCAAGGGACAAAAGCAGACAAAAAAGATTGCTCTAAATTTGTATTACTCTTTCTGAAAATGAGTTCACATCTAAAAGATCTGGAGGTCTATTACCTGGCTGCTACATTTAAGCAGTGAAGAGGTAAGGAATTGTTTTAGTACAAGGTGTAGTAATGACCACCAACTTTTAGTAGTTATTAGATGAATACATAGCTACCAGCCCTGATGGTTCAATATTACCATCCGTATCTAAGGTGGGATACCTTGAAAGAGCAGATGTTGTACAGCACAAGCATGAGGGTGCAAGATTAATTCCTGTTTTTGGTCTGTTCTGAGTCATCAGGCTGCTTATGTGGAAACAGAAAATGACAAACTTTTGCATGGATCTAGCTTCAGAATCCTCCTTGGGCTTTTATGGAATGTTCAGTTAATTTATCTAAGCCTATCATCTGGAATGAGCAGAGTTTAAATTAAAAATAAGATGCAGAGAACGGAAAGTGAAGCCTTGTTCTTCTGCACTCTGCACTCTGCAAAGCACTGATTAAAAAAAATACATTTCAGGCTGGTAGCCTGAATTCTAAGAGGCTAAACACCAAGAATAATGAAATAGGAGTTAAACAGGGAACAGGGAAGTCAAGCAAAGTTTGTATAAATAATGTCCTTTTCTTTGATGAATGTTCTGTTTCAGCCAAACGCTTAAAAGCTATATAGTTATTGCTTTTAACTGGAAACTAAATGTTGGATTTTGGTTGAGCTCAAAAATCTAACCAGGGGCAGACTTGGTTAATGCTTGGATGGAGGCTTATCAAGAAATCCCAGAGCTGTAAGCAAGACTGGAAAGTTTTTAAAAAAAAAATCTTCATGGCAGAAGGTGATCTCTGAATGATCAAGCCATCTCAGTGTACAGTGGTACCTCTAGTTACGAACGCCCCTACTTACAAATTTTTCGAGATACGACCAGCTCCGGCCCCAAAAAATTACCTCGACTTGCGAACGCGCCTCAACTTCCGAACCGGATCCGCGGCCATTTTCCGCCCGTTCCACATGGTCCGCGGCCATTTTCCGCCCCCGACACATGGTCCGCGGCCATTTTTCGCCCCTGACCCGTGGTCCGCGGCCAATTTCTCCCCCGTTCCCCCTGGGCCCCC